CAACTTTATTATACCTAAATTATGATGTATTAAGAGGAAAATCCTAAGTAATTTAACTAAGATTACATGTAATTTAGGCAAGAACGAGTAAAAAATGGGGCGGGTTAGGGCAGGTCGGGTCGATGAGAAGTACCATGCCCGCCCCGCCCCGCATACGGGACGAGTCATACCCGTCCCAAAACAGGCCAAACAGGTCGGGTAATTCGGGTCAGGTCGAAATTGCCACCCCTACCTGCCAAGGCTTCGGGCTCTGATGGTTAGTCAATTGGCTTTTATCAAAAGTGTTGGGAGGTAATTGGTATGGATGTATCCACTGACATTCGAGAATTTTTATCTACCAAAACCATTCCACGGGGTATGAACACTGCTTCCTTGACTATAGCTCCTAAGACTTCGAATACAGATCGATTGACAAGTTTTAGACCAATTGCTTGTATAAATATTTTCTATAAGATTGCTTCAAAAGTCTTAGCAAATAGAATTCAACAAGTGTTCCCTAGTATCATCAGTCTAAACCAGTTAGCATTTATAAAAGGAAGAAGTATTTTTGCTAACATTTTAATGGCTCAAGAGATGGTTCAGAACTACTCAAATAGGAATATAGCCTCTAGGAGTTCGGTAAAGATTGATTTACAGAAGGCTTTTGACTCTGTTGATTGAGAGTACATTTTCATGGTAATGAAGGCTATGGATTTCCGTGAGACTTATATTGATTGGATTTGTGCTTGTCTAATTACTACTTTCTTCAGTGTGAGTGTTTTTGGAGCTCTTTTTGAACATTTTAAAGCAAAGAAAGGGGTCATGCTTGGGGATCCACTTCCCCCTACCTGTTTACTATTGCTCTGGAACTATTAACTAGTTTACTGGATGCAGCGGCTCAATATCTCAGTCTCCCTTTCTTTGAGCAGAGTTAAAAGCTTACTTGAGGAATTTTATTGGTGAGTTTTGGGGTGGTTAGGCAATCCAATACAAGTCGAATGACTTACTTCTCACTAGTTTTAAAGTAGGTCATTTGTCTGTCTGTTATCTTGGTTTACCTTTGATTTTTGGCAAGTTTACTAGCACAGAATGTGAAGTCCTGGTAGATAAATTGACAAGTCGAATCAGGGCATGGAGGGCTGGTAAGTTATCCTACGCGGGATTGCTTCAACATGTCTCTTCTGTCCTATATTCTCTATGTCAGTATTGGATGGCTATATTCATTCTACCCAAGAAGGTTATTGAGTGTATTCAGAAGATTTTTTTTCGGACTTCTTGTGGTATGGGGATGGCACAGGGAAAGCGAAGGTTTCCTTGGACTTACTGGCTACACCAAAGAAAATGGGCGGTATGGGCTTGTGTTATCTTTGAACATGGAATGTTGCCTGCATAGCTCGTCTCTTGTGGTTGCTTTTCATGCAGCGGGAGCTTTTGGGTGGCATGGGTGAGGGGCTATAAGTTGAAGTCTTGTTCAATAGGGGAGTTGAAACCTACTATGATCAGTTCTTGGCTATGGAGGCAATTACTTAAGCTGTGAGGATGGTTTCAATACAGAATGACAGTGGATGATCAACATAACGTTTTCTAGGAGGGTAAGCTTGTGCATAGATTTTCAGTGCAGCAGGTTGGGGAGTCTATCATAATTCATAAATCTTCAGTCGCTAGTGGAAGCTCATTTGGGGTAAGTATACTCTTCCAAGAAACAGAGTTATAGTGTGGCTTATTATTTTGAATCGAATAATAATCCGAGACAAACTCAAGGTTTGGGAAAAGATAAATGACGCAGTGTGTATGTGATGTGTGCTAAATAGGAAGAGAGTAGATCTCACTTATCTCTTAGTTGTTAGTATACTGGGAGATTGATCTCTACAGTGTTTGGCTAACTTTTAAGAATTTGGGGGGGGGGGGGGTGTCAGATTGGGAGCAGATGTTGCAGGAGCTATGTCTATTGTCTAAGAAAGGTCGAGATGGTCCCGTATAAGTGTTGTTTGGTGCTGGATTTGCAGTCTAGTTTGGAAGGAACGATGCACACGCGTTTTTGGAGAGCAGGCCTAGCCGTGGAATGTGATTCTCTTGCAATTGCGAGAGGAGATTTTCCTATTAGCAACGGGAAATATGTGTTTTAGTGATGCTATACATCAGTGTAGTATTATAGGAATCTTGAATTTACACGTTGAGACTTGTCAATCAGTTGCAGCTTGATGCATTTGTCACCAACATAACATGTCAAGACATAACCCTGTAGACTATACAAGGTACCAACCTTAACACCTTTCAGAATCACATTTCAGATTCACCTTAGAACATTTGTAGACATACAACACTCCACCTTCACCTTTGAAACTGAAACCCTTGTTGTCTAGTAGACTCAAAGATACCAGATTCTTCGTCATCTCTGAAATATGTCTAACATTGTTCAAGGTGCAAATAGAACTGACTCAACCCAAATATCACAATAAAATCTCACCTAAGGTCCAAGTATAAACCTTAAATGGGTGTAATATAGGGCAAGTATGTTTAAATATCAACTCGGGCCGACCCATGTACCCCAACTTCAATTGTTTGAAACATTATCTAGCAGAATGTTGTTTGTTAAAATCTCTACAATCTACTATTTAAAAGCAAGACTTGAAAAGTAAAAGGGTGGAAAACTCTTGGTGAGAAGTTTCACTCGGGAGTTGCTTCCTCCTAACTAACTACTATGAACCGTAGGATCGAATGAATCGGTGTGTGACAAGGCAATTGTGACCCGCAGGAGGTGCAACAATGGTTAGAAACCATCCTCTCAATTGCTAGGCCAAGGAAAGCATTATAGGCTACAATTGTAGCCCTCTTGGCTCAAGCAATTGACGGTTGACTTACCTTCTCCCTCAAACCAAGGTTTGGACGGCATAATCATAATTAACCTAGGTGTCTAATTCAAGTTCAGAGTTTTGCCCTACATTAACCTAGTTAGGAGGCATGGAATGCCTAAGAAAACCCAGCTCAATTTGAGCCTCTTAAGATAAAAGGGCTTCTCTCTAAGCTAGGTTAGAATATCATAATAGATTGTCAAGCACACACAATGCACAATCACCCTGAAAAATAACTAAATTCTTAAATTAAACACCGCCATCACAAAATTATTCAATCCACACAATCAACTACATGATAGAAGTTAGGGTTCTACAACACCCAAGTGAAAAGGAAAACTACTCCATGCTAGACAAAGGAAGAACACAAAGGAAGAAGAAATAAACCATCATTGTGATGCCTCCAACCCTCCTTGTGCTTGCAGAGATCCTATTTTGAAGAGGAACTTCCCAGATCTTCATTTGGAGCAAACCCTAGCCTCTTTTCTCTCTTGGTTCATGACTTTCTCTCTAGGGTTTCAAGAAGAAGAAGGTTTCTCTCACTTTGGGCTCTCCCTTCTTCTTCCTTTAAGCTCTCAATTTATACACAGATCGCGCCTAGTTCATGGTCCCAGTTCACGGTCGTGAACATCAGGCGGAACCGTGAACACAGATCAAAATGCGCCGCTTCACTTATGGAGTTCACAGTCCATGGCTCCAGTTCACGGTCTTACGACCGTGAACTACCTCGGCGTCAGTAACCTCTGAAACTCTTCTGGACGCTCTGCGATTCACGGTTTGTGGTTCCAGTTCACAGTCTTGGCGGCCGTGAACTCCAAGCTCTGACCGTGAACTGCGGCTAGATCCTCTTCTCTTCCTGGTCTTTACGCCTTTTCTTCAAACTTTCGACTCCTGGGTTGGTTTCACCTGTTAGACTTTGAAACACATTGAAACCTAGCGTAAAACCACCCTTTTAGGAGCTCAAATGCCACAAACGCCAAAGAGAAACGAGGATAAAAAGTGTACATTTAGGCCCGAATCACTCCCCCACACTTAGACTTCTATAGGATAAAAAGTGTACATTCAGGTCGCACAAAAGCCGTCGACGAACGAAAAGATAGATCGTGTTTAGCCTCTTGACTTACACTTTAGAACTGAAAGAAGCCGGTTAGGGGAAGAGTTCTATGAATACTCTTCATCACCCTAATCTGTTTTTAGGTCAGTCAGGTTAGTTTGTTTGGTTTGTCCGTTCCGGAATTCGGTTTGTAACATGTACTCTCATCGAATCAGTAAAATTTGTTCTTCCCTGCTCATGCATTAGCTAGCGCACAATTTGTTAATAACCCACATTAAATTTGTGTTCGTTTATGTTGATCTAGATTATCGATTGCACACTTCCGTTTCGTGACAAAACAACCCCTGACTAGTCTATAGTACTCTCTCTTTGTTAATAAATACTCCTTGAGCTCAAATCTCAATAATGTAAAGAATAGTTTTCATCTAGGTGGCCATGAATCTTTGCATAAACAAATTTTGGGCATCCCATAGGGAATCTGGCAAGGTGCGGCCACGTGTCACGTGTGTTTGAACTTTGAAGCCTCAAGGGAGGTGAGAGGGGCAAAAGCCAAAGGCATCCTATTAGTAAAATAATGTATGTGGCGGGACGAGGGCGGTCTCGACTCGGATCTATCTGTCTGCTCCACTGCTCCAGTGGGCTTCCTATTAAAAACAAAACAAGGCTTCGTTGGCCTTTCAGCTGCTGTGTAAGCCGCCGTAAGGTTAAAAACGTCAAATTGGTAATCTTCCTTGCCTAATGCCTCTCCTTCCATTCCCACCCAGCCTGCGCCCAGTACAATGCTGCCCGTGTCTACTAATCTACCCTTGAAAAAGCGTTCCCCCAGTGGCTCTTGGGCGTTCACAAGTGCTACTTGCTGTGATTTTAAGGCTTCACAAAGTCGCACTTCAAAAAGACTAATCTATATACGGTAATCAGAATGGTTTAGGTTACAACTTGGCAACCTACCCAAAAATAGGGTCACTTTATGATCTAATGTTGTTTTGGATGATTGTTGACACTGTTTATTTTTTTTTTAAATTACATCTAATTGCATTTAACAGTTCTGTTGAAATTATAGGAGTATCTCATATGATATCAATATACATTGACTGCTTTGCCGATACCAACATAGTAGCGTAAAAAAATGGCTGCAAAGAGCCAAAACAAGCCAAACTATCACCAAATTCACAATCTCTCTACCGTTGTTCCACAGCCTCAAGCAATGCGAGCTGGAGCCCGACCTTTGGCACCTTCCAAAGGTTCAACCTTTCCCCCTCCTTCCCACCGCCACACGCCCTCATCCAAAGGCCGCCCTTCCCTTCCTTCTTCTCTACAAAACCTCTTCCTTCCACTCCCCTCAAGAAACAAAATCCTCCCCTGTTTCTCTGATCTTGAATCCTCTGCCACCTGACGAAAAATTCCCACATGTCATCATTTTCCCCCAAGTTCCTCACCCCACCGCTGCCCAGATGCCGCGCCTCCAGCAGGCAGAAACCCAACAGGCTCTTTGCGGCCGTCAGCCCGCCTGCCACGGCGGCGCCGGCGGAGGTGGAAGCGGCGAGGCTGGAGCCGAGGGTGGAAGAAAGAGCAGGGTATTGGGTACTGAAGGAGAAGTTTCGACAGGGGATTAACCCACAGGAGAAAGTGAAGCTGGAGAAAGAACCCATGAAGCTTGTCACCGAGAATGGGATGGAAGAGCTTGCCAAGTTGACCATGGAGAACATTGACAGCAACAAGCTGAACAAAGACGATGTTGATGTTCGACTCAAATGGCTCGGCCTCTTCCATAGAAGGAAGCATCAGTGTGAGTTTCTCTTTGCTAAGCCCCACTCTCTGGATTGATCTATTCTTCCGAGTTTTTGGATTTGACTTGTTGTGGCTGGCTTCTGAGAATCGATCCAATATTGACAAGCTCATATGAGAATTGGGTTGTGCTTCATTCTAGTGCTCACCCAATCATAATTATCTGAATCTTTCCATCAATCGATTGAATTGTCCGGATTATAGGGTGTGTGGAAAACAGAGCAATGCTGTTCTGTGTGTGAATTAGGATAAACAGAAACTTGTTCTAGCTGCCATAAATTATTGTTAAGTAATGTGGTTGTAATTGGATATGGTCCAGTTTGGAATTGAAATGTTTCATCTTTTTATCCCTCAAAATCAGATGGCCGATTCATGATGAGACTAAAGCTGCCGAATGGGGTGACAACGAGCGAGCAGACAAGGTACCTGGCGAGCGTGATCAGAAAGTACGGCAAAGAAGGCTGCGCCGACGTGACCACAAGGCAGAACTGGCAGATTCGCGGCGTTGTACTGCCGGATGTGCCGGAGATACTCCAAGGCCTGGCCGGAGTTGGGTTGACGAGCTTACAGAGTGGGATGGACAATGTCAGGAACCCAGTCGGCAATCCGCTCGCCGGAATCGACCCAGATGAGATCGTCGACACCAGGGCCTACACCAACCTGCTGTCTCAGTTCATCACCGCCAATTCCGCCGGCAATCTTGCCCTCACTAATTTGTTAGTTTCCCGGTCATGCCAACTAACGAGTTCATCCTCATAATCGGGGAAAAAAAAATTGGTTTTGACTTTTTGTTTTTGTTTCTTTTCCAGGCCAAGGAAGTGGAATGTATGTGTTGTGGGTTCTCATGATCTGTATGAACATCCACACATCAACGATCTAGCTTACATGCCGGCTACCAAAGATGGAAGATTTGGATTCAATTTACTAGTGGGTGGATTCTTTAGTCCCAAGAGGTGCGAGGAAGCGATTCCTCTTGATGCTTGGGTGTCAGGGGACGATGTCATTCCGCTATGTAAAGCCGTGTTGGAAGCATTCAGGGATCTGGGGACTCGAGGAAACCGACAGAAGACGAGGATGATGTGGCTGATCGACGAACTCGTAAGTTCGTGTCTATTCATCCCAATAAATCGAGTTGCATATTGAAACAGGATCGAAATTTGTGTCAAGTGTGTGGCTGACATTGGCTAAAATCATCTTTGGGATGCAGGGGATTGAACGATTTAGGGCAGAGGTGGAGAAAAGAATGCCAAATCGAGAGTTGGAGCGATCATCTCCAGAGGAGCTGGTCGAGAAGAAGTGGGAGAGAAGAGATTACTTGGGAGTCCATCCACAGAAGCAACAAGGTCTAAGCTACATAGGTCTTCACATCCCAGTAGGAAGACTCCAAGCTGATGAGATGGACAGCCTAGCTCGGCTGGCTGACGAATACGGCACCGGGGAGCTCCGCCTCACGGTGGAGCAAAATATTGTCATACCGAACATCGAGAACTCGAAGATCGAGTCCTTGCTGAAAGAGCCTTTACTGACTGAGAGGTTTTCCTCCGAGCCCCCAATCCTGATGAAAGGGCTGGTGGCGTGCACGGGGAGCCAGTTTTGCGGGCAGGGGATCATCGAGACGAAGGCGAGAGCGTTGAAGGTGACGGAGGAGGTGGGGAGGCTCGTGTCGGTGGACCGACCGGTGAGGATGCATTGGACCGGGTGCCCCAACACTTGCGGGCAGGTTCAGGTTGCGGATATCGGGTTCATGGGGTGCATGGCTCGGGATGAGAACGGGAAGACCTGTGAAGGTGCGGATGTTTACTTGGGTGGCAAGATTGGGAGCGATTCACATTTGGGGGAAATTTACAAGAAGAGTGTGCCTTGCAAGGATTTGGTGCTGGTTGTTGTGAACATTTTGGTTGAGAAATTTGGTGGGGTTCTTAGGGAGAGGGAGGAAGCTGAAGATTAGTGGTGAGACATATATTTGGTAACTACTAGTTGGATTGCTTGAACGTTTGTTTATGTATACACGAAATAAAGCTAATTCAAATTCCTTGAACTATTTAAGTTACAAAGGCAGGAAACTGTGCTTTTTAGCTTATGCTGTAGAGCACCCCTTCTTGGATTTCATGTGAAATGTTATCATTTTATTCTATATATGTTTAGGAGGAAGAGATTGGGGGAAGGGATTCAGGGCGGCGGCGCGGCGGCCTCCATCCCTCCTTCTTCGATGATTTGATTTTCGAACAGTTGGGTAAGGAGAAGCCGCGGGAGGATGAGAGAATAATGGAGGAAGGCAAAGTGTCCTACCCTTTCCGGTTTCTATTTACTTTTCAGGGAGGTCGGTTCTCGGGTTTGGGGTTGGGTCAATTATTGGTTTGGTTCGCGGGTTGGGCAAGTAGGGCTGACATGGCGAGTAAATATGACGTGGCGGGTCGGGTCATCGTTTTTTAGTGTTAAAATATGTTGATTGTGATTTTCTGTTAGCCACGTCATCACTTAACGATCATCAATAACGGAGTCTAATGGAGGTTAACGGAGAGTGACCGAACTTGGACTGTTCAATTAATTTAAGTGACTTCTTCTTCTTCTTCTTCTTCTCCTTATTATTATTATTATTATTATTATTATTATTATTATTATTATTATTATCATCATTATTATTATCATCATCTCGGCCTTCATGACAATTGATCACAAAAGGAATCCCACTTGCTTGAACGTCGGGGTTATTAGTATCACCACATGCCATGGACGATATGTAGATCCATCCATTGGTGGAATGGGTGCTACAGTGGTATAAAATTGATGCATAAGCTTTCGAGAATGTTGGAGTATATCCCAACAATGATGCAACTTGAAATCATTTCTAGTGTCCGCTACGAAAAGGTTTTTTTCTCGTACAACCTAAAAATTGACCAAGTATATATTATTAAGTGTAAACTACATGCATAAATTGGGAATGAAAAGCATGATAATAAATATAAGAACTTGATTACTAACCACATTACTTGGGTTCTCTACGCTCATTGGTGTCCCTTTCGCTCTCCTTGACGCTACATTCCACGACCCACATTGGTGAAGGATGGTCTTCCATAAAAAATGTAAGCCCACATTAGTACTTGAAACCCCACATCCCTTAGAGGCAAATACGCTCCCACTCGCCTCCAAAATTCAATTATGATTTGATGATGACTAACAACACCATCTTCCACAATATCAAGCATTGCACAAAACTTCATATTCACTTTTCTTCCAATTTGGAGGGCGATTAGGTTGAGACATGATGAAGAAGATGTGAAAAAGATGGAGGGAAAGATTTGGAATGGTGAAGTGAAGTAGTAGTGAAGAAATGTAGTCTATTAATAGGGTAAATTGAAAAAAATAGTTGTTGGAGGTCAAACTAGTCATTGGAGAGAATTTGGGGGTATGAAAGTGTAATTTTTTTATTCAAACAGAAAAAAAACCCCATAGCCGAGCGGTCCGCGCATTGCATACATGGCTCCTATCAACGCCCTTTCCGTGTGCGAGTGAGACACACTCACCATCTCAGGCACGTCTAGCAGGAGGAACGTGGGCGATGGGGGAGAGGGTGGGATCTTGGCTCCCCTTGTCTTGTACTGGGCCAAGAATAGCTCCAAAATCCATTTTTTTTTACATTTTGGCTCTTTTCATGACTTATTAGAAGAAGAATAGAGATAGACTTTGACACTTTCACTCCTTATTGAATATTACCTTATTGTTTTAATTGCTTCAAATTAACCTCAGGCCAAATCTCATGGACCAGCCTAATCTTGTCTATGTGTGTTCGTTTTGCTGGTGACCCCATTCCGCTTTTGGCAAACAGCGAGTCGAAACTTGTATATCCTTTTCATGACTTAATTAATGATCTAGGTCATTTTGTTCGTACTTCGTAGGATAAGGGATGACAAAAATATCTGAAACCGTAGATATCCGCTCGAATCCGATTTGATTGGGTAAGGTAAAACCCGAACCCTAACAATTTCCAGTGGTTATTGTTAAAAACACGAACCCGAATATTGCGGGTCATGGACGGGCATGGTTTTCTCACTATCCAACTCGAACCCGCCCGATTATGCACTTGCATATATATTTTGTCTAGAAATGATCATTATTTTTCTCAACGTATTTTATATTTAGCATACAAATGTAATATTTTCATGAAATTATGTTGTTTGAAATTAATTTTCTTCATTCTAGTGAATTATTATCGTACTTTTCCACTTACGTAATGTGAGTATATGTGTGAATGTTATCATTTTGATTGGAGTTATAAAGAGAAATTATTACACATGGATAACCCTGAATACCCGAAACTCGAACGAGTTGGGAGTTTTGATTTTCTACTCAATTCTTGTATAGGTATAAACCGAACAACTTTGAGTAGAGAATAGATATGCACTATACGCCCCGACCCAATCCATTGTCATCCAATTTATCAAGGGGGGTGCTTGCACCCCCCTTGGGTTTGGAGAAAAAATTTCCGAGTAGGGGTATATACAAATTCGAACCAATGACCATTCAGTTGCATGAAGAATTTCTTATCATTTCGATCGAGTGAGTTTTGTTATGCAATGCACTTTCATCTTTATTTATAGTAATAAATTGTTGTCTTTTGTTTAAACTCGCTCATTTTTTTTAGCTCTACAACAGTGAAATTTCTTGTATTTTGTTTAAACAAAGTTGAAAGTGAAGAAGTACCAATTAAAGTTCACTTGTTTGTTTCACAAAATCAATTCCAAGGTACTTCTGAGTTCTAATTTGTAATATTTGATGAATGAAAGTCTTGATTAGGGGTCTATTTGGGTTGCGTGGATCACAAGATATAGGATAAAACAGTCATCTATATGGGATTTGAAGGAGAGTGCAGCAGGGAATTGGATATGGAAGAGGCTATTAAAGTGTAGACAACTGGTGAGGCCTCATATCTCTGTGGTAAATTCTGAGCTGCAGTGGGATGGCTTGGTTATGTGCCCCTACTCTGTTTCGAGGGTGTGGGAGTCATTAAGGCAGAAAGAGAATGAGGTTAATTGGTTCCATTTGGTTTGGGATAAGTATGTTGTACCTCGACATGGATTCATTGCGTGGTTGGTGATAAATGATAAACTAAAGCTTCAGGACAAACTTATCGCATGGGGAAAACCATTATCTGGGTGCTGTCTGATGTGTCCTGGAGGTGTGAAGACTCGGGACCATCTGTTTGTTCACTGTTCTTATATACAATACTTATATATGCGTGTGCTGGGGATAGCCTTGCCTCCTGTGATTGATAGTTGGGGTTCCATGTTGAATTGGTGTGTGCAACAGTGGAGTGCTAATACCACTGTGAACTTCCTTAACAGAATATGTTGGAGTGTTTTGATTAGCCTTGTGTGGAGGGAGAGGTGTGCAAGGATGTATGGTTCTGCTGCGGCGAGGAGTCCTTTGCAGCTGCAGAGTGTTGCTCGAAGATTCATTCGAGGGAGATGCCTTTTGAACCAAAATTTGATTGACTGTTTTGTAGAAAGGGGGCTTGGGGTAGATAGGTAGCTATCTTTTGATTTTGTGATTACCATTTGGGTTTGATGTACAGGGACTGTCAGTTTGTGAGGGCTCCATAGCGATTTGCTATTGGTGCCGGGGTTTAATGCAATTTTGATTTAACCATAAAAAAAAAAAAAAAAATGAAAGTCTTGATTTGTATGTACTGAACTTATTTGTTTGACGTTGTAACCGGCGTACGTGAAACTATTTTAATGTAATTGTATGAATTTAGAGTATTACGTTGTTGACTTTTTGTTTAATTTAAAGTTGAATTCTATTGTATAGGTGATTTTTTATGATATGATAAAGACACCCCCTTGGCCAATTTTCTGGCTCCGCCACTGAATAATTGTCTAGTAGGATATACAGAGACAAATTTGTTGAACAGTGTTGACACCAAGTGTATTTTATAATTTTTTTAGAATATGAAAATACATCATTGACTTTTTTTAACTTGTACAAGTTGTGTATTTTCTTATTTAAAAATTATTTAATTTTTATTCATTATTAATTAATTATTTTACTTTATTTTTGAATGAGAACACCCTATGTAAAATTTCTGGGTCCGCTACTGGATTGGGCTAAAACACAGCGTACTGGTCCATGGTATCGGTATTACCGAATTACCGTCGGTATTTACCTTAACTGGGACCAGTAAACTGAATTTTCCCATTACACACTCGGATACCGATACCGCCGGTAATCGATTTCAAGTTCGGTACAACAGTAAACCGTTTACCGGCTTACCGTTTGTCACCCCATCCAAACCAACCCCCTAGCTAGGCACACTACTGCGAGAACAAATTACAAATTGGAGTCTGGACTTTTTATTGTTTTCTTTCTGGGCGAATTTTTTCTATTCTGGACTTTCCCTTGTTATCTTTATGGGCCATGATGAACGCTTCACTATTTTATTCTGTCCTTTCTTAGCTAAGGCAAGATGTTGATCTGTTGTACAACATTATTGTGTGGTTTATCAGCTGGTTTGGTGGTTCCGATCATTTTTATTTTGTTTAATGTTAGAAAGCTACGCCTTGATTATAATCGGTACCGTATTAATTTAAATAATAAGTTACAGGAAAAAAGATCAAGCTTCGAACTTTTCAACAGGGCAAGCCGATTCGTCAAATTATGATTATCGGCTATTGCCATTGCCAATTATTCTATTTCTATATAAACTCTCAAATGGGTTACTATACCTCTCATTCTCATCCAAAACCGAGGTGCCACCAGCCTAACTATGGGTGCCACCGACAATCTCTATTATCCTTTCTTCTTTCTCTGGCTTCCAACAGTCCTACTAGCATATCCCCTGGTCAAAGCCTTAGTCAAACATCTTCGTGGTGGCAGAGTTGAAAGTCTCCCTAGTCCGCCGACTCTTCCCATCATCGGCCACCTCCACCTCATCGGCAAAGTCCTCCCGAAGTCCTTCCAGGCCCTGGCTCACAAGCACGGCCCACTCATAAGGATCCAGCTGGGCTTCTCCACTTGCGTGGTCGCCTCCAGCGA